TTTTTCTTCCAAAGGTACTGGTGCATGTACACTGTGCATGTTCCTTATAATACCATGATGAAAAAAAAAATTCTCCATTTCGCATAGGTATCAGCTCCAAGAAAAACTTATAGAATTAAAAAACACATCGCATCCCCAAAAGTTTGCTTTTAGATGTAGACTGTTGGATCAATGTTAAAGGTAGTTGACGGCCAATGATGAACGGTTATGGCAAATACAAAGAAAATGATATTATTCCCCAAGAAGTCAATCAACATAAAAGTATACAAATAAAAACAACATCCAGAACTCTGTGAGCATTTCGGTAAAAGCAGAGAAGCGTTGAAGAGGATACAGAAAAGGAAATCAGTTTGAGAATCCTGACCACTGAGCATACACATGTGGAACTGAACCAGCACACGGCTGTGACTCTGGACGCATGGACTACATGTAAATGAGTGAACCACATCAGGCTTAAAACTCAAAGGGGAAAATGAGGACAATTTATTGTTTGTGGGAGGCAACTTGGAGGGAAATGACATCGTACAGAGAACACAATGACGATAAGTCAATTAGGCCGGACTGAGTCCCTAAGAGCACACCCATAACCCATGGTGACAGACTGATATTTCAAAGCAGGGATAATTAATCTTGATAATTTATGGGAACTCATGTACTGGAAACATTCATGGGGCATGTGTGGAGAAAATCTCATTCACACGAACTCTAAATCTTATAGTTTTCAGTTATAAGGAACATTCAGTGAACAATTGGCCCATTGTCTTTGCATCTGTGACAACATTTACAGTGTGTTTTGTTTTCATTCATGAGGGATATCATAATGTCAAAAGTTAAACATAATGTCAGTACAACAGATTGGGGAACAAATTTCTTGGTGTAAATTTTCTTGTTTTTTTTTACATTGCTTATTTTGTTTGCACAAGTGACTGATTCCCGTGCAGTCATTTGTACCATGTGTATTGTACATTGAACGTTGATATTTCCGTCTCAAAAATTACTAAAATATTTGCAAGAATTTCTAGTTGTTTTTACACATTATTAATTTCTTTTCACAAATTATAAATTAGTCCAAACAAATCACTAATTTGAGTGCATTAAATACATGTATCATTCATGCCTATGAATTAGGAACTCATTTGCACTAACATGAAATGCGAATTTGTTTGTACAAATTACTAATTTGTTCCGATGAATATTAAACTTCGGTGATTCATGCAATGGTGTAAATACATGTACTTCATGTGAACACAAATTAGAATTCGTGCCCCCAAAAATGTTCAACCTGTTCCTTCCTGGGCTGGGATGTAATGCAGTAATTTTGTGTGATTAAAGTTTGTTGCCCATGCACTGACTTACTGGTAAATCTGTACTGCCCAAACCTTTTGCTTGTACGATCCCGAAAAAGAGATTTTTGTTACAATAAATTTGATAATTGTTTAGGAAAACATTACTGTGAACTTTCTTATGAACCATTTCTGAAAGAAAAATGGATTACATGTATTTATCAAGTCTCAGGAACAACAGACTTGGAGCCTCAGAACCCTCAGAAAAACCCTGTCTCCGGAGAGAATCAGTCAACTACTCCATCCAGATGACTGGGGCAGAGGAATTGAACTGGGACACAGTATTTAAATGAGAGGAGATTTAAGCATATGCCATCCAAAAGGCATATCCGGATTGCAATCAGTAATCTGTCGTTGATTCACTGACACCAAGACTCGCTAATGGATGGAGCGACCCAGCAATGGGATCACCGATCGAGATCCTGATCCATGTGAAACAAAGTGGTCCCTTGTACAGCACTTTTTCTCGTGTAACTGAACTGTGTGCCATTGTGTGTACCAGTAGTGAATTGTGTAAAAGACAGACTAGATAAAAATCTCAGTGTATGCCTGCCTCTTTGTGTCATGCTTCTGTTCATTTTTTTTAATCAGATTCAGTTAGAAACGACGATTTTCTTTATGCAAAAGATCTTCTGCTACACATGTATCTTGGGGACATGGTTGGGCAATCTAGAGGCTGTCATGATGCCATAAGTGCCAGGGTGAGGTCAGCATAGGGAAAGTTTTGTGACCTGTTGCCCGTCCTCACCAACCATGGCATTGCACTCAAGACTCAAGGATTTGTGTACAACGCAGCCGTGCGCAGCGTCTTGCTATATGGCAGCGAGACCTGGCCCTTGATCGTAGAGGACACAACTAGACTCATCAGAAACAACAATAGTATGGCCCAATGGATCTGTTCAGCCAGGCTCGCAGACAGACTGCCTACTAAGGAGCTTCAAGACCTGCTTGGCATAACAGGGATACCAGAAGTCTGTAGAGGAAACCGGCTGCACTGGTATGGTCACCTACAAAGAATGGACGCTGTACGCTGGCCCATGAGGGTCCTAGACTATAAAGGTAACTGGCCGATTCCTTGTGGACGCCCGAAGAAACGATGGAAAGACAACATCTAGGAGGACCTGAGGGCCCTGAGGTTACGGTCTGAAACGGCGCTGGACAGAGAGAGGTGGAGACATACAGTAAGCCCCCAGCAAGTGAAGCCAACTATAGGGAAGACCTGCCAAACCCCTGCTTCTAGGGACAGAAGGACGTAAAACCGAAGATGACGATGATGAAAAGGCTTGATCTCTCCACAGTCTGGATCCGTCTGGATGTGGCATCTTTCCAGAATAATTCCTGCATGCAAAGTTGGCAGAGGCTTGCAGCAAACTTGTTAAGAGTTCTTGGCTCTAAAGAAAGTGACTTCTGCTCAAGTTTCCTGTCGGACTGACATGGTCATTTTTAATGACTTGGGCGAAAGACCATGAGGGATCCTTAATGTAGCATATTCCATGACAGCTGAATGGACACAGAGAGACTGCTGTGCTGGAGCTTGTACGAAAGGATTCCACTTATGTACAGATGCAGTTGGGATTTATCATACATGTATTTTTTGTACATTGTACATGTACATGTATGTACACATACATGTAAATGTATGTTTGAAGAATATCTTCAGTATTTAAATGTAGTATTGAACAAATATATAAGACTTTTCAGAAGCCTTGTAAGATTCAGCATTATTCACATGCAAAAAAACTTCAACTACCGGTAAATGTACATGTACTGGTCAAAACTGTCACAACATGTACCAACTGACATGTTCTTGAGGAACACGTGCCAATACTATGCATGAGTGTCCATCTTTCATGGGTGAGATCAGGGATAAAGGAAAATCCTTGAAACATCCAGCAGAGGGGTTGTAATAAAAGCAACAAGAAACAACCGTACTGTGACTTCTTAGGGCTTTATGTGTAAGTAGTTACCAGTACATGGTAATTATTGAGGTATTGGTATTATAGCAGGACAGGAAGTGTTGGAATGTTCTTAATTTTATTTGTGCATAATGAGAAATGCACAATTAATGCTGATACGTGCAATATGTTTAGCGAATTATAATTGCATGTAAAGTGGGTGGAGTATAGTTTATAGCAAGTATCAGCACAGCTGTAAAAACGTAATTTCCTGGTGCTCTCGCTGTGGCACATGTAATGTATGCTGCTATAGCCAACATGTATGAGGTGTGGGGAGACTTTTTCCATTTTTGGTATCGGTACATGTGCATACCAGTACAGTCTTAGTTGTTCACTTGTGGATGAACTGTAGTACGGCTCAGCCAACAGAGGAGTAGACATTGGGCTTTGCAATGTGATGTTTATGTAGACAGTGGAACACTGAGGTGTGCAGCATGACTTGGGTCCAGTGATGGTAGAATTGGTATCATGTTAAGCAATATGAGAAATGCATTGCTGGTGGTATTCCTGTCTTGCGTATGTGGGCTTGGCTTGTGCATTGCATACAGTGTGCAGAAAGTGTGCCTGGCACAGCTTGTGCACTGCTGATTGGAGTGAAGAGAGTGATCTACATACATATACTGTATGTACCTGTAGTTGTGTATTGCTAATAATATCATCACTAGACCACAAAGTTAAAAGAGGTTAAAATGTAGATAAAAGAATTAAAGATCACATACAATAATACCAAATCAAATCAATTTATTGCTTGTTAAAATTCCATAATAAATCATCACTGAGGATACCTGTAATGCAAGGTACATTGCTTTTACATGTACATGTAGGTGACAGACAGTAATCGAATCATCATAATTGGTACATATATATTACCAATATGTATATTACCAAAAAATCAGATCCGCTCCCTTAGCTTTAACATGTACATGTAGGTCATTATGAGTGGTCTCTGGACCTGGTAGAAAAATTGTTAATGCAAGAGTGATACCCCCCAGCTGGATTCAGACTTGACCCTTTGCTTTGATCTTAGTGTGCAGATCTATATTGCTTCCAGACGATTGGCATCTTTCATTAGTAACTTGAAGCTGTGTTTATTAAGCACACACTCCTGCCAAGATTAATCCAGAGTACTGTAGATTAAAACTGACAACAAACACAGGCAAACCAGAGAAGGAGACAGCAGCAAACAAGGACACAGACCTGGACAGAAGTTGCTAGCGATCAGTGGATCCTAACTGGGATGGTGTCTTTAGTCAAATCACCAAAGACAAGGTGGGTTTTTAAAAATAAGATTTGAGTTGACTATGAACTACTTTTTCCTTGCATTTTCATCAACACTGCTGCATCTTATGAAAAGATAAACTTAAAATGGCATTTTTGAAATTTTAAAAGGCATTCGATCTTCCCATGCAACTCATTGAGGAAGTTTTAGTCTTTCCAATTGGGAAAAGGGAAAAATTGATTGATCCGGTAACACTCAGCTTGAAAGTCAAGTGTACATGTACATACATGTATACACACATACATGGAGAAACTCTAGAACCATCCGTTATGGGTAAACTGCAAATTTCACTTGTGTAAATTGAAGTCTGTAGTTTCCAGTTTTCGTTGCTACCCTACATTGTACATGTACACTTGTCAGGCGTTTATTTGTTAAATTACAGTTCTTATGATTGACAACATAGCCTGCTCAGCATTTGCCAATGCTACAATGGATCCCAACAATGTGACAAATCCTACTTGTAGTTCATCCATCTGGCTGACAAATGCCTTGTTGCCTGAACTTGAATATGTTTTTTTCTGTGTGCAAGTGGCTCTCAGCATTATTGGAATTTTGGGGAACAGCCTCGTCTGCATCACCATCGCAAAGGCAACATTCATGCACAATGTGACCAACTTTCTTATCGCACACTTAGCAGTGGCAGATATCCTTGTCTGTGTAACCATCATTATTTTTCAAGAAAGATACATGTATATGTACGTGTGTAGCCCTGATCTTGATAATAACACTGCAATGAATGAGATCCTCTGCAAATTTTTTCATGGAAAGAGGATTATTTGGGCTGCTTGTAATATCTCGATATTCAGTATGGTGGGTGTGACAGTGGAACGCTACGTGGGTATTGTCCATCCCTTGAAATACCCCCGTCTCTTCACTCAGGCCAAAGTTGGACTAATGATTGCAGTGATATGGACCATTTCATTGTCTCTCAAGATTCCGTATCTGGTGGTATCGTCCTATGACAGCAGCACACATCAGTGCTTTAAAGAGGGTCTTTCAAACACAAATACTACAGTGGCTAGTTTTACATCTATCCTCGAGTTTGTGCTACCTGCTGTGATTCTTCTTGGGTGCTACAGGAAAATTTTGATCAGCCTGCAAAGAGCTGCTCGAAATCAACAGCAAGACAACAACCATGCACCGGCCAACGAGCTACTGGTGGCCCGCCGTCGAGTCATTAAGATGCTCTTAGTTGTTGCGATGATTTACATTCTCATCTGGCTACCGATATATTGTCTGTTCTGGATTAGCATCTCGTCCAAGGATCTGTCTTTCGAAGTATATCATGCTTCAAAAGCTATAAAACCAACTGTAGCTGTATTTAATTCAGTGGTCAACCCCTTTGTTTATGCATTCAAGTACAAAGAGTTTCAGCGTGGCGTGCGATACCACGTTTTTCCCTCTATGTGCCGTTCGAGGAAGGTGACTGCGGCAGTGATCACTGTAATGAAAGATTAGCTAAAAAGTGTTGTGACATAAACTGTAGGATGTGAAACAACCCTCTTACACCTGAAAATGTAGTAGCCAACGGATTATGTATTACCAACTGATGGATTGTAAATGGTACCAGTGTATTACTTGACCAAAAAAGTATCACCTGTCAGAGGATGCTGAGCTTAAAAGGAGGCATTTTCTTTGTTTAGTTTGTTGTCCTCACACTGACTTTGAAACTGTACTGCCCATGCTTTTTGCCCTTCAGGTAAAAACGCTTCCATAAGTGACGCATAATTTGTAGTGTACATGTACAGTTTGCTGCTAAGCAGTACATGTATACAGAACTACATGTACGTGTAGGTGGGGGAGACTTTCTCCATTAAGCTGTGCACAGGTATGTTCAGTCTAGTTTCGCTAACCTTACATACCTAGTGTGGACTTGTGAACAAAAGATATCCACATGATGCAGGAACGGAAGACGTTCTGTGAAATTACACATGTCCATAGGACGTTTCCCCTTCTCTGAAAAAGAAGTTTTAGAGGCATTTTGGGGTAGGGGTCATCCATCGTAAAAGGAAGAGGAGTAGTCAAGGTCGTGTTCCGCATGGTTCAAGAAAAATGAGTATTTTCACTGAGTTTTCTTAACTGCACAAAAAGAATGTCCACACTAGGTATGTAAGGTTGGTGCACTGTAGTAGGGCTGAGCCCTCAGAGGTGTAGACACTGGGCTTAGCAATGCAATAGGCAGTGCAACACTGAGGTGTGCAGCGGGACTTGGGTCCAGTGATGGTATAACTGGTATCATACTAAGCAACATGAGAAATGCATTGCTGATGGCATTCTTGTATTGCGTTGGCTTGGTTTGTGCGTTGCTTACATGTAAATGTAGATGTACGTGTATAGAAACTGTGCATGGCACAGCTTGTGCACTGCTGATTAGAGTGAAGAGAGTGATATCTATAAGTACATACATGTACCGTATATGTGAACATGTGCATTTGTACCTGTAGCTGTGTATTGCTAATCTCATCACAAGACCACAAAGTTAAAAGTGGTTAAAATAAAGATGTACCTGTATCACGCACAATGATACCAAATCAAATCAATTAATTGCTTGCTGAAATTTCATAATAAATCATCGATGTTGTTTGAGGATACCTGCAGTCTAAAGGTTTATTGCTTCCAAGTGACAGAAAGTAATCAAATCATTATAATTGACAGTACATGTACCTTACTAAAATCAGATCTGCTCCCTAAGCCTTTAGGTCACTGTGAGTGATCTCTGGACCTGGGAGAAACCAGTGTTTAGGCAACAGTCTTTACCCATGGCTGGATTCATACTTGACCCTTGTCTTAGAACTTACATGTACATGTATTATGCAGATCTATGATTCCCGATGATTGGCATCTTTCATTAAGCACACACTCCTGCCAAGTTTAATCCAGGGTAGATCAGAACTGACAATAAACACTGGCGACGAGAGACGGGGACAAAAGCAAACAAAGACACAGAGCGAGAGAAACAAGGATGCAGAGCTGGACAAGTTGCAAGCAATAAGTGGATCCAAACTGTGATGGTGTCCTAACTAGACTTTTTGGCTTACAAATCCTGAAATGTGGAAATTTCTTGAAAACTTACACCTTGATCTTTAATTCACCCAATGCACTGCAAAATGTGGGAACTACTGTAAATGATTGTGGTGAATATCACCCTTCAGACATCAGAAATGTTTCAAACCTCTGAAGATATCATTCGTGTATACATGTTCACATACATATCCTTGTCAGAGTGAAGGGGCGAACATCACAAAATTTTAAATTAATATGCATCACTTCCACAAGATTGGCATCTTTAATCAGTAACTTGAAGTTGTAAGCACACACTGCTGCCAAGATTAATTCTGAGTAGATTAAAACTGACAATGAACACTGGTAAACTGGATAAGGGGCAACAGCAAAGAAGGACACAGAGCAGGACAAACAAGGACACAGAGCTGGAGGAACAAGGACACAGAGCTGGAGAAAGAAGGACACAGAGCAAGACAAACAAGGACACAGAGCTGGAGAAACAAGGACACAGAGCAGGACAATCAAGGACACAAGCTGGAGAAACAAGGATACAGAGCAGGACAAACAAGGACACAGAGCT